TAATGTAGCCGAAATTCACGTTTATTTTTACGTTTCTGTCAATCTGAGGTCGGTGTTGTTGCCACAACATGTGTGTGTCTTGCTTTGGACGAGGGTCTAAAACTCCAGACAGAGTAGTGTGTGTGGACAGCAGACGTAACCGTAGCAAAAGTTATGCGTTTTTAAAATGAAAATGCACTAGTGTAAACGTACGTACTACGTAGGTATTCCACAGCCCGTTCGGGAACCGATGCTCTCAAGGCAAATATAGTTATTTCAGTGAGTATATGGCTCGACGGCAGGAAGGAATAAACCAAACAATTTTTAAACGTTTTTTTTTTTTTTTTTAATTATAAAAGGTGTGTTGATTCAATTAAAAATCCACATTCTTTTAAATATTACAATTATTGAAGCCTGTTTGTCATGTATAATACACCGACCAATCGTTATCTGGCACAAGTTCAAATTTCATTGGACACTGTGAATTTCCAGTCATTCATAAATCGTTTGAAAATTAGATGGACACGAAAAAGTACATTGAAAAAGTCTTAGATCTTTGAGTTCAGCTCATGAAAAATGGGGGCAAAAACAAAAGTGTTGCGTTTATAATTTTGTTCAGTGTATATGCCCCTTTTTTACACGAGCCCCTGCCCCTGAGGAACTCTCGGCACGTCCCTGAATGAAATATTAGCAGCCAATGTTTGACCCTTGGATGCTACAACGCCCATTTTAAAGGGTTAAAGGCACCCCAAAAAACACCACGTCACCTAACAGAAGTCTACAAGTGTTTAAATGAAGCGAAAGGGCACATTTCCGAGATCTGATGCAGTCTGATGGGAGACTTCCCCCACCCCAAAGGTTCGTGTCACACTTTCTCATGTTCTCTGCCTCGCCTTTCTTTCCCTATTTGCATTTGACACTTATGGAGAAGACATATATAGCACCGCGAGATAAGAAAAGACCACATTTGTCATCAAATGGAACATGCTCTTGGATTATGGAAAGCCAGCTGCTGTTGACTTACACTGTTTGCCTTTTCCTCATCTCGGTTACACCATTTCATGCCTCTCCATTAATCAAAATCAAATACGGCTCAACATATATTATATACAGTATATGTGTAGAAACTGTGTGAGTGGTAGAAATTAACCTGGCCTCTATTTAAAAAACAAAAACAAAAAAAAAAACAGGATAAGGCTGTTGTAAAAATTGCAATGTGGCCGGCAATGAGTGAAATGAAACAACAAAAATAGATTTAAATTACATTCTGCTTCAGAGCGCTTGTTGCGACTCCAAAATAACACTGCTCTCATACATTAATCTGTTCTAATCTTTAATTTTTCTCTGGAATGTTCTATTGCTTTATTCTTTTGGTTCTTGTACATCATGAAAAGTAATTGGTTAGTATAACAGAGACCTCTCTCTTTACATGCATCATTTGACTTTATATCTTACAAGTAGAAAATCTTATTCCTCATTTCTCTTTCCTTTTTAGAAATGCACATCACCATGAAAACAGTTCAAATACCGTATAGTGACAATCTGGTATGGTTTAGTTCAAGGCTTAAATAACATTCAACTTTAAATATTAAAGTTGAATTGATTTAAAACTAACAAAAGACAAGACCACCAAAATGCTAGCTTCATCCTAATTGCAATAATCTAAATAATGAGGTCTGAGAGGCCTTTGAAAAGCTTCTTACCCACATAAGAAAGCCTCAGAGTTTACTGCACCCCAGAAGCCAACCCTTCCAGTGAACAACCAAGGACACTCACACCAGTGCCAAAAATCTCTGAGACAAGCCCACCACAAAATGCAACCACAAAAATCCCCTTCCTCTTTCTCACACAGAAAGAAAAAACAGCAAACCCATTGCATCTCTCTTTTTCCAAAGAGCTGGGAACAAACAAGAAACCATACTTTACTGCGAGTTGATTGCATGACTGGATTACTGTACTTTCAGATTGCGCACTGAATTTGATGAAGCTGAAGTATGCTTTGTATGTAACATGAATACATTCCTGTATTTGCTATCCACAATTGTTGTTGTTAAGTACAATTTAACCACAAATAAACAACTTTAGGATTGCAGGTCTGTTCTGATAAAATCATTGGGGTTTTTTTTGCCATCAGAGCTAAATGCATTTAAGAAAATGCAATATGTAACAGTGCTTAGTTAGGATAGCAAAATAAATGTGGGCTTATCAACATTTAAAATAAAGAAACAGTTTCCAATTCCATATCTTTTGTTGTTGATTAAAAAAAAAAATTATTAAAGGAATAGTTCACTTAAAGATGAAAATTCTGTCATCATTCACTCACCCTCGAGTGGTTTCAAACCTGTATGAATTTCTTTCTTCTGCTGAACACAAAAGATGATATTTTGACCCAACAGTTGATCGACCCAACTCATTTTTAAGTGAACTATTCCTTTAATAATTTTGCATATTAACAGTATGTATGACAGTATGTATTTATGTATTTAAAAAAAAAAAAACAGTATTAGAATAAGAATATTTGGGTTTACTTTCTTACAATAAATAATTTTGGTACTGCATTGGGTCAACATAAAATCCTGAAGCAAGACCAATAGAGCCACCAACACAGGCTAAAGTATAAAAAACACACACACCAAACATAATGTGCTGATTCCTTTTGTCTACAGACTGATGAAAACCCTCCTGTCGGCTCAACGGTAGCTGATCTCCCTGAAGGCAGCACATTGTTCATGGAAGAGCTATGTTGTGTCTCTTGTGTTCTCTCTGATGAAGACTGACAGGGCGACCTTTATTTTTGACCGGATTATGTTTCAGGGGAAAGACAAGTTGGCTTACATATATATATATATATAGGAAAATGCACCGTCAGCATGTTTCTCCCTGGCGAGAGCACCTTGTGTGATCTTCGGACTAACAATGTCTGCGAGCACGCGTGCTTCCATTATTTCCCTCCATCCAATTTACATTTCCTCATCTTTACAAGTCTGGAGAATGAGAAAGTTCTTGTCTGATCTTTTTTCATTCGGAGCGAAGCTGGATAAGTGTCCTTGACAAATTAAACAGAGCATGCGAAGATGGTGCAGGGCATTTTTCATGACGCCATGATATAATAAAAAAAAAAAAGCTTCATTTGAAGGGACGTTTGAATAAATGGAACTGTATTTCTTTCTGTCTTTGTCACTTTACCTCGTCTTAATTTGTGCGAAATCCTTCTCTGAGTTCACAAGAAAATACCTTCTTAATTCAGTTTCCTCAAGTAGTGTTTCCTAAAGCAAGACTAAAAACACAACATTTAACAAGTTAGCCCTCTGTCCACAGCGGAGAGGGGGGAAAACAATAATAACCAAGTGAGAATTTGTTTTTACGGTGCTCTCAGGATACTCATCAGCGGTCCCCAGCTGGGCTATGGTGATGATTACTCTAAGACCTCCAGAAGCGCAACCCAACTTTCCCACAGTCATGTTTCCCACAGCCAAGACCTACCTTCCTTCTCTTACTCTCTTGACACAATGTAATACAAATCTCGGCAAGCCCAAACTGGTCAATGCAAATGTGTTGTGGGTAGACTAGGTCAGTGTGTCCCAATCTTTGGAAACACTATTTATTTTATGGTCATCCACACCAAATGCAGCCCACAATGAGCTATTTTCAACTGATATTACACTGGACATAATTCATCATCATTACTAAAATTATTAAAATGGTTATTAAAATCATGTGTACATTAAATCATTTATGCATTATTTTTAACCTATAAACATCCTTGAATTTCTGTTTTATAGGTTCAGTAAAGGAAAAAAATCTGTTCCCCTGCACGCATCCCTGGTTGGGAAACACTGCACTAGACGACTGCGATTCTGTAACTGTAATTATGTCCAGGCATTGACAACAGGCTGATGTGCTATTTGATGTTATTATAATATGCAACATTCTTTGTTTCGTTCCTTTTTTCAGTATGAATGTGCACAAAAACAATGACAACACGGTAAACAAAGGTTTGCAATACATTTCCCCCAATAAAAAGATGCAACAAATTAATCTTTATATGCATAGCCACACTGATTCGTATGTAGAAACACATAAGCTGTGTATTTAAGAAATGCTCCAGACTTAATTTTTGTTGTGGGAGAAGCAATAAAGAGTGATTATTTGAGAACCTGACAATGTGGCATTTTGCTGGCTTGGCAAATACATATATAAAAACAAGTGTTCAATATGAACATAAATTTAAAACGTTTCATAATTATTAAAGCTTTAAACGTAAAGTAAAGCTGTACTAGTTCCTTTGTATGGCTACAATGGGTAGCTAGCCAAGACAAGTGCAAGATGTGTGATGGGAGGAGAGCACGATTATTTGTGCACGTTCTTTTCCACTGAGCTGACCACGACTGCATGATTCACCTCATGTTATATATCTGCACACAACATGCCCTGCACCGTTCAATGATCGCCAGAGCTCACAGTATTTCGCAAAGCTGTCAGAAACACTGCCAATGCAGCAAGAACGGATGAATGTCGCCGCGTGGAAATGTGCGCGTGTCTACTTCATTCAAGCTGACGCTCACGGAAATGTAACGTGCAATATTCAACCATATTTATTAGTTTAAAGACTATGGCTTACATTTCTGGTCATTTTCAATTACACAAACCCTTGGTTTTGTGTAGCCTTCATATTTGTTGGAACAGCGTCTCGCTCGCGCCGTGAGTCTCGTGCTCGCAGAAACATGTCAATCAAACTTACTGCACGTTCAAGTTCTTAAATAGGTTCTTCACGTCTGTTTCTTCGCGGTCTGGTTATTAAACGGTCTGGTTATTAAAAGTACCAATAACATAGCAACTTGGATCAAATGACATATTTCGCATACAAGTGAACAATGTGAAATATTATATTGTTGTTATTCTTAAAACCACATCACAAAAGGAGCCGGCTGCTGTGTGTAAAAGCAATTACGCCCTGCTTACACAAGGCTTTATCAGTCGCAACTGAAAGATACGTTTAAACATTAGCTAATTAAACTCACCAATGAAGGTAAATCCGGACGAAAACAAGCAGATCCATGTGAGTACAAGCCCGGATCTCCATCGGACAAAGGAACCCAGGTGTAACGGCATCTTTATCACCTTCTTGTTCAAGTTTAAGTCAGTAATATCAACTGAATGAGCTGCAAAGAGTATCTGCTTTATGGCTGGGTTTAGTTTTTGCAATATTACACCGATCAGCGCATTTATAAGTCCTTTTTCAACACGTATCCTCTTCCTGTACCTTGGCCATCAGTGCGTCTTCGTTGCTCAGAGACAGCAGCGCATCACAGGTGTGGTAAATAAAGACGCCACTCTAATTTCTTCAGCTCACTCACGCACATACACACTCCAGACGTGTGAAGAGAGGGAGAGACAGAGAGAGCGCAAACGTCCTCACTCTTATTCGTCTTCTCACTCTCCTCTGCAGAATACTTGCTCCGGTAAAGAGAACGGTGTATATTGGCTTCAGCGCGCGAACATCTGCTGCTACAGCAATGCAGGAGTGAGGAGACGCGATGTATAGAGCAGTGAGGGAGCAAAACCCGGAGCGGAGTCCGGCCCCTTCACTGGAACGGAGTGTGGAGAGCCTTGGATACGACGCGTCATGTAAGTGAATAAGTGATTTAAACCACCTAGTGTTTAAACAGACGAGAGGCAACTAAAAGATAAAGTAAATCTAAAAAAAGAAAGTTCATTAAACACGTTGGCATTTTGTGTTAAAGGGATAGTTCGCTCAAAAATGACAATTCTGTCATACTCACCCTCAAGTTGTTCCAAACCTGTATTAATTTCTTTCTTTTGCTAAACACAAAAGAATATATTTTGAAGAATGTTGGTAACCAGACAGTTGATGGACTCCATTGACTTCCATACAAAAATATAAAATAATAAATTGTTGGCTAATGGCCATGTAGCCCTATCATATTTTAAACATTATAATTTTAAAAGTTGTTTGACATCAAACCTTATAGTTACTGACATACAGCCCTTGTGATAACTTCCCCGTGTATATTTACAGTATATTATCCCATCAAATGAACAATCATTGAATAAACATAACTCGCTATTTATCACTTCATGAAATGTTTTTTTTTAGGCTACACCAAGTGCATTATATGAGATTTTAGATTTACAAATATGCTGTCTGTCTATTATTGCCAATGGCTAGTTATATAGGCATTGTCAGATTAAGAAGGTTACAGGTTTTAATGTCCCTATAGCCCCCAATTCTATGTGTTTTGTTTGATTGATTACACATGAAATTTAAATCAAAAAGAGCTTAGTGCTTTCCACCCAACCATTATCCTATTCCACATCTGGATCATGAATTTGAGATATATCTCCAGATTAAAGAGGCCATTGTAAGTGCTAGTATAATGACACTGAATGTAATAATTTCATTATATTGCACATCATAATTAGATTCAGTCTTAACCAATAGCAGGGCTTGTTAAAGGGTTAGTTCACCCAAAAAATGACTTTCCAAACACAATCAGAGATATATATATTTTTTAAAAAACAGACAAGTAATTGGCAATGTCATTTTGTAAAGAAAGACAACGCGCCTTGCATTTTTGTAGTTTATACTGAGACAATAACGGTATCCTTTTCAAAAACTTGTACTTTAAAACAAATTTTCAAAAGTTTGCGTTTTCAGGCCACCAAAACGCCGTTGTTGTGTGAATGAACGGCCAAAACGCTTAAAAAGTTGTGTCGTGTAAACGGCCCCTTACTATCATCCCAATGCATCAGGATCAAGTTCAATTTGTGTAAAATGAGAGACTTCAGAGCAAAATAGCTAATTATCAATAAGGGCCTCTGAATTGTTTGCTTATTGATCTCATGCTCATTGACTGAAATGAAAACAACACTTGGGTGTTAAGTTGGCAATCATGCAGCAAATACTGTACTTCTACATCTGGGTCTTTTGAGATGAGTATGATTAAAGATTTAGAGACACCGCACCTTCATAATGAATGATACGGGCCGTAGAAGCTATAGCCATTGATCAATAACAGCATTCAATGCTTTGCCAACAGCCTGTTCTTTAAGGAGTTTTGCATCCGTTCAGTCGTGTTTGTATACGTGTTTGTTCAGTCATGTTTGTATCAAAGTAAAAGTTACTTCAGCCTTGATGTACTTTTCAATATTTTTCAAGATAGACTTCTCTGAATTAGCATTATTTATCTGCTCCCCAAAGCAATTAGCTGTAAAGTACGAAGCGGTCAGCATAACTCTTTGTATTCAGTGGCTGCAAATCCAATTTTCCCTGAACCTCTGCTTAAGATATTTCATGGCGGTAACTAGGGCAGCATTCGATAAACAAAATTACATAATTGCTTAAATATAGTACTCTATTTAATAGACATGCCATTGCTCACCCAATTAAATTGAAGAAACATCTAAAATGTGTTATTCTGTCTTTGTTTCTTATATATATTCTTTCGTGCCAACATACACATTTATCAAATTATTCTGAGGGTCACAGAGAACAGGAAAAAAAAAAAAAATACACTACCGTTCAAAAGTTTGGGGTCGGTACGATTTTAAATACTTTTAAAAGAATTCTCTTCTGCTAACCATGGCTGCGCTTATTTGATTAAAAATACAACAAAAATCAGTTATAGTATTAAATATTATTCCAGTGTAAATCAGCTGTTTTCTGTGTGAATATATAGTAAAGTGTAATTTATTCCTGTGATCAAAGCTGAATTTTCAGCATCACCAGTGTCAGTGTCTTCAGTGTCAAATGATCCTTCACAAATCAGTATAATATGAGGATTTGATGCTCAAGAAACATTTATTATTATTATCAATGTTGAAACAGTTGTTGGTCTGTCAGTTGTACAGTTTTTTTTTATTTATTTTTTAGGATTCTTTGATGAATAGGAAGTTCAAAAGAACAGCATTTGTTTGAAATAGAATCTTTTGTAACATTATAAATGTCTTTACTGTCCTTGATAAATAAAAGTATTGATTTCTTTCCTCCAAAAAATAAAAATAAAATTCTCACTGACCCCAAACTTTTGAACGGTAGTGTACATGCTAAATACAAATAATAAAATACCATTAAATCATGCATAGTTAGGATAGCAAAACAAATAGGCTTATCAACTTTTCAAAAGAAAGAAAAAAAATTTCTTTATTGAAGCCAAAGGCATGCGGCTAATAAAACCATACAGCATAGCAAAAAAGAAAAATGGACATTTTACTTGCTACAGTATATCTATATCATCTTAAAAAAAGTCAAAATCGACCCAGACTACATTACATAAAAAAAAAAAAAAAAAAAATTTCTCAGTGCATTTTTGAGTGTCTTAGCACAATAAAGAAGCTGTGTTTGTTTTCCACTCAGTACATTTGAAATATTGTTTTACAAATTGTTTAAAAAAAACTCTTTGATTACACTAAGAAGACTACTGTACCAAGGGAAAACACACACAGCTTTGGGCCCATGTAAAAAAAAAAATTATACTGTACAAATTGTATATTCTAACCCCTAAACATACTCATCATAGAAAACGTTCTGCTTTTTTAGATTCACTAAAACATCACTTAGTATGATTTATAAGCTGTTTTCCTCATGTTGACCAAAAAAAATGTCCCCAAATGTATTTGGATATTGCCATCTTGGTGGGGAAATTTAGTCCCCATAGGGTTTACCTGAAACACACACACACACACACCTTTAAGCAAATTAGCTGCATCATATCATCTTCCACTGTGCTCACAGCCTCTCAGTTTGAACTTGTGTTTTATCAAATTAGATTTCAGCGCCACGATGCAGCGGCTGAGAGACTGTGCGATTTATAATAGCTAGTCAGTGGATTTCATATTGTAGTGAAAGTCACTTAACCAGACTGCAGGAAAATGATGGGTTTGAATTTGCATACTTCCCTTTTACTCTCGTTGTGTGCCATCCTCGAATTAGCATGGGTAATGTATAACTGCACATTAGCATAGCATGCGTAATGGCATATCAGTGTTAGATTCAATTCCAAAAGACAAAAAACAAAACAAAAAACGCAGCAGAGATGTGAATACAACCACCAGAAAGTAGATTTATACGCAGCCTGACACAGATTACTGCTGCATGGACATTAGCATTATTTGCATAGAGTCAGCCACATGCACAGATAGACCACAAGTGGTGCTCAAGCACCTGGCCTTTTAGCCTCTCTGACTACAAGTTACCCTCCTTCATTGGTGACAGCCAGCCAACGATTGTGTTTGCCCTAAACTTCAGCACTGTTAGTCACCACTGTGACATTAAACCACTATTAAAACATCTCAATACAGCCAGCCTAACATAGTCACTAATAGCTTAACAACAAGCAAGCTGGTCTGGTGTTGACGTTAAATAGCATTGTGCAAGATCAGAAATGCAGCTAAAATGAGTAAAAATGCCCCAAAATTCAAGGTATGAATTTTCCTTGAATTTGTTTTTGTATTTTGTTGATAATATAATATAGTTAAGCAATATAACATGAGCAAGACTGTTATTTTATCGAATATCAGCACGATTGCAAAATGTGATATACATTTTATACAACAGTTCAATAAACAATATAAGTTTATTATTTAAACTGGCCCTTTTTAATTACAAAGTTGTACATTTTGACTGTTTGTGCTCTATTTTGCCAACAAAATTAGTTCCAAACAAAGCAAAAAAGTTGCGTCTCCCAGCAACACAGCAGTGTTTCGTTCTTGAATGATTCACCATTTTTGAATGACTCGGGTGAGTCAATGATTCATAAAGACAGTGGACACTTGCTTCTTTCATGAATGAATCAGCCGGTTTGAACCAATCAGTTTAATTAATGATTCAATGATTCACTCATTATGAATTGCCACCACCAACTGGCGGATTTAGTTTAATATATAATAATATATCATTGTTTCATATATTAATTGTTTCCCAACACTTCATATTTAAAAATGTTATATTTAGAACATTAATCTCAGAACATTATTTAGACAATTGTAGATGGATTTTTATAAATGGTAGGATGGATTTTATTGATTCTGATTTCATTGAATTGGTATAATAGCCCTATAGTCTCTAGTGTTAAATAATGTAATGTAATTAAAAGATGATCAACTATATGTAACAATATGTAGTTCATAAATAATTATAAGAGGGGTGCCCCTTTTTCACAGGAGCAGCTGCTCCCCAAAATGTCTGTGCATGGCCCTGCATAGAGTATAACAAAGTGCTAATATACACAATTATATAAATGTTTTCTTCATTGCTGTCATTATGAAGAAGTTTCAACACCATTACATCTCAAAGGGCATGCAATTTCCCAGTATCCAATAACAAAAGACCTCTAAGGGATCGGTGGTGCTCCAACATGCATTGCCTTG